CCACAGAACCTATTTGACCCCACAAAGACTCCGTAGGATCAATGAATCCATTTCACATCTTTGCCCTCCATGTAAAACAGAGACAGGTAACCTTATTCACATCTTCTGGAAATGTCATAAATTCAGACTTTATTGGGGATCAATATTGGAGATTCTTAAAGAGATGATTGGCTTTGAGATCTCCTGTTCACCTAAACTAGCCTGACTAGGCAACATATCTGATATCCCTCTCTCCAAAAGAAACAAGCTTCACTTGATCAAACTGGCCATGATGGCTGCTAATAAATGTATTGCTGTATGATGGAAAAGTGCAGATCCTCCCCCTGTCTCCATGTGGCTCAAAGAAATGTCCTCGTACATGACATCAGAAAAAATCATCTTCAGTCTCAAAAGAAAACCACATCTCTCTGATAAATGCTGCTCTGCTTTTAGGAGCTACATGGGAAATATTTCACAGTCTGTTGTGGGTTGATGACCACATATGTTTGACTAATGCACACATGCATCTGTGTAGACATGTGGAGTTGAATCTCTGTGTACTAATGTGTGTAAATGTTGTGTTTATTTCACACACAGTTGGTCCTGTGTGATTATTACTTTATTTGATTCTATTCTGTTGTTTAATCTTTGATATTCCACTTCTGTGTTTTCTCCTGTAAACTGCTGTGTTTGACAAAGATTCAATAAATCAGCTGTTAATTAAAGAAACACAAGTCTTTGTGACTGCAGACTACATTTATACAAGAAACATGAAAATATGAACAAAAGTTCATTCACAACTTTATAGATAAAAGTTATGTTTGTACATAAATTAGCTTCAATTGTTAAACATGTAAGATCTACAACAGTAACAGAGAGTCAGTGAACTGACCTCAGAGTCTCCAGTCTACAGTGTGGACTCTCCAGAAAATCACACAGCAGCTTCACTCCTGAATCCTGCAGGTTGTTTCTACCCAGGTCCAGCTCTGTCAGATGGGAGGGGTTAGACTTCAGAGCTGTGGCCAGAGAAACACAGCTGATCTCTGACAAACTGCATTCCCACAATCTGAATGAAGAACAGAAGATTTAACTTTATGTTACGGGTCCAGGGATGTTAACCACAGTAACAAAATTGTAACACGTTTGAAGCAGGTAGAACAGAGGCAATGAGGATAAGGTATGCTGCATTTCCTTCCAGATTGCTTCTGCTTGTTGTTTTATTAACAAGCCACACGTAAATAACAGATTTCAGTTTCTTTTGTTCTTCTGAGTCTCCCCTATATTCAGTCCATCACTTTCAGTATCTCACGACTTTCACAGTTTCACTAAAGCATCCATTTCTGTGATAAACACAAAATGTTGACATTAATAATTAAAGTACATTTCTCACAGTATCCATCGATCCATTTTATAATCGCTTATCCTCTTGAGGGTCGCGGGGGGGTGGAGCCTATCCCAGCTGACACTGGGCGAGAGGCAGGGTTCACCCTGGACAGGTCACCAGACTATCACAGGACTGACACATAGACAGACAACCATTCACACTCACATTCACACCTACGGACAATTTAGAGTCACCAATTAACCTGCATGTCTTTGGACTGTGGGAGGAAGCTGGAGCACCTGGAGGAAACCCACGCTGACACAGGGAGAACATGTCGGAGCACCTGGAGGAAACCCACACTGACACAGGGAGAACATGTCAGAGCACCTTGAGGAAACCCACACTGACACAGGGAGAACATGTCAGAGCACCTGGAGGAAACCCACGCTGACACAGGGAGAACATGTCAGAGCACCTGGAGGAAACCCACGCTGACACGGGGAGAACATGTAAACTCCACACAGAAGGGCTCCCACACCCGGGATCGAATCAGGAACCCTCTTGCTGTGAGGCGACAGTGCTAACCACCACACCACTGTGGCGCCCTTCTCACAGTATACTACTGCTTAAATTATTTTTCACATTGAGTGTAACTCAGTGACATGAAATGTCCCCTTTAACACTGTATGCTGTACCTTTCATTAAACTTCTGTAATAATTACAGGCCACTGAAATGAATTACTATGAAATGCTTGTGTTACATGTTTTACCGATGTATGTTAAAAGGAAACACACTTCATCACATCATAAACAATCAACATTCAATGAACTATTTTAATCTTTAAATTTTAACCAATTGTATATTAAGTAAAGTGCATATTAATTACAAACAATATATTTTTGTAATATTCACAATGTGCAGGAGCTCTTAAACACTTGACACTTCCAGGTCACGTTTGCGGCACAAAATGGCGTCACCTCAATCTCCAATGAACTAACTTTTTTTTACAGCTCTTTTATGCATGTAAAAGTCACGATAAACACTCCATACTTCCAGCAAACAGTCACGTAAATAAAGCCTGACCTTATAACAGAGGTAGTTGGAGTTTATTTACAGTTTACCGACCTGTATGAAGCAGGTACAACAGAAGCAATGAGAACAATGTGCATTGCGTTTCCTTTCAGATTGCCTCTGAGGATAACAGTGGAAAAACGCCCTCCATACAGGTTCCCCGGAACAACAAAACAAACACAAAAGTTCTGCCTCACTTCTGCCCAAAAAACGTATTCTTCACTCCATTAGTGCCATAACAATTAGCTTGGACCACAGTAATTTCAACAGATGAATATTAATATGAACATAAACGTGTACAATAAAATAAAATTATGAGAGTGGTAATTATGCTCACTTTTTCACCATACAAATGTGGTCACACTATTTCAGGCGCGCCACATTTAGAAGACAATGTTCCAACCTGAACAGAAATATGTGAAATGGCCGCGACCTCTTAACACTGCATTCCGTGGTGGCAGCACATAATGAGTTAAAATTACGTCCTGGTATGTGTGATGCTCTTACACTGAACAAAAATATAAACTCAACACTTTTGTTTTTGCTCCCATTTTTCATGAGCTCAACTCAAAGATCTAAAACATTTTTTATTTACACAAAAGACCATTTCCCTCAAATATTGTTCACAAATCTGTCTAAATCTGTGTTAGTGAGCACTTCTCCTTTGCCGAGATAATCCATCCCACCTCACAGGTGTGGCATATCAAGATGCTGATTAGACAGCATGATTATTGCACAGGTGTGCCTTAGGCTGGCCACAATAAAAGGCCACTCTAAAATGTTCAGTTTTATCACACAGCACAATGCCACAGATGTCGCAAGTTTTGAGGGAGCGTGCAATTGGCATGCTGACTGCAGGAATGTCCACCAGAGCTGTTGCCCGTGAATTGAATGTTCATTTCTCTACCATAAGCCGTCTCCAAAGGCGTTTCAGACAATTTGGCAGTACATCCAACCGGCCTCACAACCGCAGACCACGTGTAACCACACCAGCCCAGGACCTCCACATCCAGCATGTTCACCTCCAAGATCGTCTGAGACCAGCCACCCGGACAGCTGCTGCAACAATCGGTTTGCATAACCAAAGAATTTCTGCACAAACTGTCAGAAACCGTCTCAGGGAAGCTCATCTGCATGCTCGTCGTCCTCATCGGGGTCTCGACCTGACTGCAGTTCGTCGTCGTAACCGACTTGAGTGGGCAAATGCTCACATTCGATGGCGTCTGGCACGTTGGAGAGGTGTTCTCTTCACGGATGAATCCCGGTTTTCACTGTTCAGGGCAGATGGCAGACAGCGTGTGTGGCGTCGTGTGGGTGAGCGGTTTGCTGATGTCAACGTTGTGGATCGAGTGGCCCATGGTGGCGGTGGGGTTATGGTATGGGCAGGCGTATGTTATGGACAACGAACACAGGTGCATTTTATTGATGGCATTTTGAATGCACAGAGATACCGTGACGAGATCCTGAGGCCCATTGTTGTGCCATTCATCCACGACCATCACCTCATGTTGCAGCATGATAATGCACGGCCCCATGTTGCAAGGATCTGTACACAATTCCTGGAAGCTGAAAACATCCCAGTTCTTGCATGGCCAGCATACTCACCGGACATGTCACCCATTGAGCATGTTTGGGATGCTCTGGATCGGCGTATACGACAGCGTGTTCCAGTTCCTGCCAATATCCAGCAACTTCGCACAGCCATTGAAGAGGAGTGGACCAACATTCCACAGGCCACAATCAACAACCTGATCAACTCTATGCGAAGGAGATGTGTTGCACTGCGTGAGGCAAATGGTGGTCACGCCAGATACTGACTGGTTTTCTGACCCCCCCCATAAAGCAAAACTGCACATTTCAGAGTGGCCTTTTATTGTGGCCAGCCTAAGGCACACCTGTGCAATATTCATGCTGTCTAATCAGCATCTTGATATGCCACACCTGTGAGGTGGGATGGATTATCTCGGCAAAGGACAAGTGCTCACTAACACAGATTTAGACAGATTTGTGAGCAATATTTGTGAGAAATGGTCTTTTGTGTGTATAGAAAATGTTTTAGATCTTTGAGTTGAGCTCATGAAAAATGGGAGCAAAAACAAAAGTGTTGCGTTTATATTTTTGTTAAGTGTAGGTCTCTCTTATTAAAGACACTTTATGAAAAAATGAAGTTGAACTAACTCAGTAACTTAAACTGAACATCGGAAGTCCAAACTGTAAATGTGACACACAAATGTCATTTTGAAATGTTTAAATCCTGTTTTTCAGTTTTAAATTTTAATTTGACATTTTAAAAACTCACTTTAAATTATTTAAATCTCAGTGTAAATGTCATCAGTTCTGATCTGACCTCATAAATATCAGTCTAATGTCTTAAACTCAGTGTAACATGCACATCATATTAATCTCAGTACAGAAGTACTGTATGTGATGGTGTCTGACCTCAGAGTCTTCAGTCTACAGTGTGGACTCTCCAGAAAATCACACAGCAGCTTCACTCCTGAATCCTGCAGTGTGTTGTCACCCAGGTCCAGCTCTGTCAGATGGGAGGGGTTGGACTTCAGAGCTGAGGCCAGAGAAACACAGCTGATCTCTGACAACCTGCAGCCCCTCAATCTGAATAAAGAATAAAAGATGAAGATAAAACTCCATTAATGATCCAATCAGATGTGTTCAGGTTTTAAATGTGTAGCTCAACATTACTATGTCCTGATCAATGAGCTTTTCCCTAAAATGAGTAGAGTGACTTTGTCATTGTGTTATTGTGGATCATCATAATGTCAGCCTTCTACAGACATCATCCAAATGTCACCACAACATTCATACACCTATTCATGTCAACACTGATTAATAACATGCTGCTGATCATTAGAGGATCAATATCAAATCAGACATGTTGGACTACAAACTCTTCATTCTTTCATTTATTACATGAGCTTCTTCCTGGATTTGGGAGCTCAGTAGGTTTATGTCATTTAAAGGAGAGCTCCACATTTGTTCCAGTGTGTCTTCAAACAACAGCCACATGTCATATGTACATTAACAGAGTCATTGGTGGCAGTAATCGTTCCTCCTGTCCACACTGAGTGTGAAGTGGTCCCTTCATAACACAACTACACTGTAAAAAATGACTCCATAAGTTCAGCTGGAACTAATATGAAGCTTCTGCAGTGTGAGTCAGACACATCAAGTGTGTGTCCACCAAAGTTACAGACTATTTAGGACCAAAGTCCCTCTTTGAGTTACTATTCCTCCACTGCAGCTCAACAAGGACACACTGTCAAACACAACACACTCACTTGATATGTGTAACTCAGACTGCTGAAGCCTCAGATTAGTTTCACATCAACTTTACAAGTCATTTTTACACAGAACAAGACTGTGGATTTTGTCCTCCATCTGGTAACATCGGAGTCAGGTTATAAGGGGATTGTTTGACAGACAGTACGGACACAAGGAATGATTACAGACACCAACAACTCTTTGAATGTACATATGGACACGTGAGCATTGTACTGAGACAGAGCTGAAAAATATCAACCTGTCCTTTAAGACAAAGATGTTTCTGAAGCAGAACATTGATTTGCTCTTTGTTTCAGTCTAAAGGTCTTTGACTTCAAATGATCAGACGATGCTGACATGAAAACAGAGCAACAGTTAGATCTGCTGGGAAATAACTTAGAACCTTCAAAACGTCATTTGATGATGTCACTCATAATCATCACTTCAGTGACTTGAAGTTGGTGCAGAACTTGTTTGTTGAAGAGTGCTGCACCTTTTGACCTGTTCAGATGAGCAGCAGAACCAGAGGAACTGTGAGTTTGATGTGCACTTTAATCTTCATCCAGCTTCTAAAACTTTACTGGACTTTATGATCAAAAGATCTCTGCAGAAACTCAATGTTTCACTTCTCAAAGATAAAAGTTAGATGATTCTTAAATAGAGTTTGATTTGTTAGAGAACAGAAACTTTATAAAACTACATACAGTCTGTTGTTGCTCTGAATCACAAACACTATGACTGCTCTCACCTGACATCTTTTTGTCATCATTACAACAGAGAGTCTTTTTCTTCTGCAGCTTCTTTCTAAAGTCCTCAAACAGACCTTGGATGGTTCTTTGTTGGGACGTTTGGGCCTGTGTTAGGCTGCTGTTTATTACTCTGAGCTCTGCTTTAATGCACACCACACCACAGCAGCTGTAGCAGCCATATCAGCCTCTGACATCATCAACATCACCACACTTCATAACTTCACCTTTATTGAGCTTTGCATTCATGTCTTTCTTGTCTTTCTCTAACCTGTCGCTCTCTCTCTGTTTACACAGAAGCTCAAAGTGTCTGCAGCCTGTTTTTATCTGCTGTCATCAGATCTTCAACAACCTCATTCATATCCCTCACACACTCTACAGCCTCATCAGTACTGACATCATCTTCACTCACTGATGGACCACAAGCTGAAAAACTGTCCTGTCAAACTTTTCATCTCCCGAAATACCAAATATTCAGACATTTGGAAAAACTGAAAAGTCTTCAGATTTGTGTTCAAGCAAAATCCCCAAAATATATGAACCAAAAATATGAAGCTTCAGTCAGAGAGTTGTGTTGAATATATACAAAGAACATCATAAGCTACAGTCAGTGAACTGACCTCAGAGCCTCCAGTCTACAGTGTGGACTCTCCAGTCCAGCAGACAGCAGCTTCACTCCTGAATCCTTCAGGTCCCTGTTGTAACTCAGGTCCAGCTCTGTCAGATGGGAGGGGTTGGACTTCAGAGCTGAGGCCACGACTTCACAGTGAGTTTCTGAGAGTCGGTAGCCAGAAAGTCTGTCATAACACATTGATTACAGAATATGTTATTATGAAAGAGGACACTTTATATTGACTTCATGTATTTGATGATGAAACAGTTTGACAGATTGTGTTTTGATTAACATTTGCATGACGCCATCTTGATTAGAAAACCACGTTTTAAACTCAGTGAACAATTACAGTTGGAAAGATGATCTCTTTTTGTTAGCTAGCTGCTGCTGGCTAATGCTAATGTTAAACTTTACATAGATGTTGTTGTGTAACTGACGTTACTGATCAGTTCTCTGATCTGATGACTTTCTACACTTGTGCTGCCAAATCACTGTTATAACATTCAACATTATCACATAAGTGTCACTTGTGGCCACAGTGGCTGATTCACTGACATATTCGATTCAATTAATAACAATAATAATGATGAAAATAACAAATAAACAACACTTTTCAAAAACAAGTTCACAAAGTGCTTTAAAGACAGAAAACAGAATAAACACATTTAAAATAGTTTCTAATAATAATCATAATAAAAAGAACATGAAGAATTCAAACTAATTAAAGCCAATTAATGAAGATTAGTCTGATGTTATTTAAACAATGTAAAGTCAAACCATTAATCTGAGCTGCATTTCTGCCGTGTGATATCGCCTAACATCCTCCATGTTCACTATGAAATGGCTCCAAAACCATCACCAAAAGAATCTAATGCACAAAAGTAATTCTCTAGACCTTCAGAAATCTCCTCTGGAAAATGATACAGATCTTATTTTATACTCTTCAAATAATCAGGTATCACCTGTATGTGTGATGATATCAGACACCTTGCAGAACCTACTCAGGTAATAATAACTTTACTGCATTCACTGATAACTGTAAAACACTGCTATATGTTGTGATGAAACCTCCAACACCACCTCTAAAGACCTTCATTAGTTTTATCAGGTTTGCACGTCGCCTCCATCACCCAAATAGGGATGGGTACCGAAACCCAGTATTAAACGGGCCAGGGCTGGAATTATTAAAGACCGTACTATTGATAAGCTCTGATGTTAACAGGTCTGCTTTTGGTATTGGAGAAATTCACAAGATATATTTCTTGTTCATTTAGGTCACATAAACGTTATCTTGTACCGTCTTTATCTCACCAACTCTGTTTCTCATTTGCAATAAGATTAAGACGTTCATCACTGATGCATTTTTTCTCTGATGTGGAGAAATGCAGCGTTTTCGACCTCCTACCTCGCAGTTCATCTCCCGTTACCCCGTCCACCTCAGGGATGTTATTGTCTATAATAGGAATTTATTCAGGTTTCTGAGGTTTCTACCATTTTTCCCCCGTTAAAGGTTTTTTTGGGGAGTTTTTCCTTTTCTGCTGTGAGGGTCCGAGGACGGAGGGATGTTGTACGCTGTAAAGTCTCTGAGCCAAACTGTGATTTGTGATATTGGGCTCCATGAATTAAATTTAAAATTGGAATTAGGTTCTAAACAATGCTGTAGCAGAATGTTAATTTATACATTGTACTAATATACATAGAAAATGAAGCAATGTCAGTTCAGTTCTTCTGTTTGTTTTGAGAGACACAAAATAAGAACCGATAAGAGTTGTGTTAAAGTAGCGGATCAATAAGCAGTATGGGTAAGAGTGGTAGTAATGTTCAAACCTTGATGATAGCCATCCCTACACCCAAAGGAAGAGAAATAAGACGAAACTGACAAATGTAACAACTATTAGAAATAAATAGAATAACTGTGTTCAGTAACTTGACAGCTAGAAACACAACTAACTGAAACATCAACATTTGAAACAGTTCAGGAACATCTGTGAAGAACTGAACTACTAATCTACACTGATTTATAATGTTAATCACATCTGGACTTACTGAGCCTTTCTGCAGTTCCTCACAGCTGGAATCAGTCTGTGTCGTCCCTCCCATGATGTGTTGTACTTCTTCAGGTCCAACTCATCCAGAACCTCCTCTGACATCTGCAGCATGTAGGCCAGAGCTGAGCAGTGGATCACAGAGAGTTCCTTCACTGATCTGTTCTCTGACTTCAGGAACTCTTGGATCTCCTGATGAACTGAGTGGTCGTTCATCTCCGTCAGACAGTGGAAGATGTTGATGCTTCTGTCAGGAGAGATTTTTTTTTTTTTCATCTCCTTCAGGTTGTTGATGGCTCTCTGGATGATTTCTGGACTGTTGTCTGTCCGACCCAGCAGACCTCCTAACAGTCTGTGGTTGGACTCCAGAGAGAGGCCATGAAGGAAGCTAACAAACAGGTCCAGGTGACCATTTTCACTCTCCAGGGATTTCTCCATGGCTCTGCTCAGGAACTCATCCAGAGATGGGTAATGGTCTTCACTCTTTCCAAAAAACTTAGAAATCTTCTTGAAGAAAGACTCTGGCTTTGAGTCCCTTTGACTGAAGACTGTACCCAGGAAGTGCTCCAGTACCTCTGTCTTCCTGTTGGTGTAACAGTGGAACAGGTAGACTGCAGCCAGAAACTCCTGAACGCTCAGATGAACAAAGCAGTAGACTGTTTTCTGGAAGATCACACACTCTCTTTTGAAGATCTCTGTACAAACTCCTGAGTACATCGAGGCCTCTGTGACATCAAGACCACAGAGCTCCAGGTCTTCTTGGTAGAACATGATGTTTCCTTTCTCCAGCTGTTCAAACGCCAGCCTCCCCAGCTTCAGAAGAACGTCCCTGTCAGCCTCCGTCAGCTCCTGTGGACTCGTCTTGCGTCCCTTAACATACTTTTGCTTCTTCCTCTTTGTCTGAACCAGCAGGAAGTGTGAGTACAGGTCAGTCAGGGTCTTGGGCAGCTCTCCTCTCTGCTCTGTAGTCAACATGTGATCCAGAACTGTAGCAGTGATCCAGCAGAAGACTGGGATTAGACACATGATGTGGAGGCTCCTGGATGTCTTGATGTGTGAGATGATTCTGCTGGACCGCTCTTCATCACTGACTCTCCTCCTGAAGTACTCGTCCTTCTGGGCGTCAGTGAAGCCTCGTACTTCTGTTACCCTGTCAACACGTGCAGGAGGGATCTGATTGGCTGCTGCAGGTCGGGAAGTTATCCAGACCAGAGCCGAGGGAAGCAGATTCCCCTGGATGAGGTTTGTCAACAGCACGTTGACTGATGACTTCTGTGTGACATCAGACACGACCTCATTGTTGTGGAAATCCAGTGACAGTCTGCTTTCATCCAGGCCGTCAAAGATGAACAGAACTTTCCAGACAGCGAGCTCCTCTGCTGTGACCTTCTGTAATGTTGGATGGAAAACATGGAGCAGCTTGAGAAGACTGTACTGCTCATCTTTGATCAAGTTCAGCTCCCTGAACGAAAGCAGAATCACCAGACTGACATCTTGGTTTTCCAAACCCTCGGCCCAGTCCAGAGTGAACTTCAGCACTGAGAAGGTTTTTCCAACGCCAGCGACGCCGTTGGTCAGAACCACTCTGATGTGTCCCTGTTGGTCAGGTAAGGCTTTAAAGATGTGGTGACACTTGATTGGAGTGTCATGGAGGGTCTTCTTCTTGGAAGCTGTCTCCAGCTGCCTCACCTCATGTTGGGTATTAACCTCTTCACTCTGTCCCTCTGTGATGTAGAGCTCAGTGTAGATCCTGTTGAGGAGGGTTCCACTTCCTGTTTCATCACTTCCTTCAGTCACACGTTCACATCTCCTCTTCAGACTGATCTTATGTTCATCTAAAACCTCCTGCAGACCAGCGTCCACTGGAAGACAACAACAAGGCCTCATTATAAATAGTCTTAGTTATACATCATTAAAAAAGGAATGAAAATGGAGGCTGAGATTTTTTTTAAATGTAACGACTGTTACAACACAAGAAGAATCTTGTTTTCAGACATGAAGACATCAGCAGACAGATGGACAGTCTTACTTTGTACAGTGCTGGTCTGACTGTCTGTCTGCAGTCCAGCTCTTGTTCTGGATCTTTGTCCACACTGGGGACAGGAGGAGTCTCCTGATGAAGCAGACTGGTCCCAGTATGAGGTGATGCACTGTCTGCAGAACCAGTGTCCACAGCTGGTAGAGACTGGATCCTTCAGGACGTCCTGACACAAAGCACAGCAGGACAGCTGCTCCTCCACACAAACATCACTCCTCTTCTTCTCTCTGTGGACACAAAGACATCTCTTTATGACTAAAATGTTCACTGTAGGTTTTTTATTTTATTGACACAAACTCAACACTTTCTGCAGCTGCTTCACAGAACAAACCTTCCATTAAAGTGCTGATCATGCTCTTCACTGTTTTACAGTCACGTTGAGCAGCTTAGCTTCAGTTAGTTTGGATTGAACCGAGGTAAGAAGTGCTCTAAATAATGAGCAGCAGTCTGAAGGCCCAGACACACCAAACAGACATCAGAGAACTAGCAGCAATGAGACCGCCCTGCTGCGTCACATCACGGTGTCGTGTCTCAGCCAAAAAGTTGCACGTTAACACGCCAATCCGATGACCAACAAGCACGTATGTCCTGTGCCTGCATGAGAGGAAATAACTCTCTACACCAGCAGATGATGGACGTCTGTAATCGACATTCAAAACTAGAAACTGGAAGATGATGCTAGCTAGCCAGTTAGCACATGAACAACACAATCAGAGCATATTAACTGTACACCAGTGAACAACAACACAAACCATCAGGAAACGTTTCTGCTAAAGAGAAAAATAATCTGACTTGATGGAATAAGTTGGTTTTGGTCTCACTCCCTCTGGACTTTAGCTCTTTGTTCACATTCTTCACTTCCGTATTTTTTCTTGTGCGCTGAGCTGAACTGTCGATCAGAGTGATGTAATGTGCCAGTAGGCTCCACTGTGGGAGGCGGCGATTCAGGAAAAAAAGCACACTAGCGCCAACAAGGACCGAAGGTGCAGGACACACTGCAGCGACGAGGGCCATGAAAGCTCACCAAATGCCCATCATTGATACACAGCTGACCGTCGGCTTGGTGTGTCAGGACCTTAAGACACAAAGTTTGTGACAGTCAAACGTGGCATGCCGATTCTTGGAGCAGACACCAACTGACCACTGTAGCAGGGCCCATGCTCACAGGTACCTGGGGGTACCAGAAGCTCAAAACAAAAGTCAGTAGCAACAGCAAAAAAAGCTGTTTGGCATTGGCAGAGAAGATCTGGCAAATTTTTCATGGGCGCAACCCACATACTCAGCTCTGCTGCTCATCCCACAAATGATCCTTACAAATTCTGCAGTCAACATAATCAAATCATGTCTTGTATGACTGTATGTATGATTTTCAGGTTTCTCTTGAGTCACATGTCCATGGTGTAAGCGTGTTGTGCCACAGTAAGAGTCATCACAATGCACTGTATATAGTTATATGGATGAGATGAAACTTCAGTACATATCTGAATCTGAATAATTTGTATCAGTGATTTTCAGTTTCAGTCCTAAATGCAACACAAAAAGATTCATAAAATCCTTCTTCCTATGTCGTAGCATTTGAGAGACTTTTGAGAGATTGATTTATTCTTAGATTAATGACAGTAATGCCTTTAAGACTTTTTAAGGATCCACAGGAACCCTGATTAAAGAAGGACTGAAGGAACAAATGTTGGACATTGAAAAAGTGTCTGAACGTGACAGAGTTGATGATGTTGTGGACGTTGTTTCTGGTGAAGAAACTCTGTGGTGCCAATGAAAGAGTTGTGTTTACTTCAGCTGGAGTTTATAGATGTATGTTAGGATTAGGGTTCTGCTGTCAGTCAAGCTGAGAGATGAACAGTAATGCCGTCTTATATATATAATATTATTAAAAGATTTTTTGTTGATGCTATGTGAGAGCAACATTTAACTTTGTATTGTTTTAGGTGATTTACAACAGTGTATATTGACCTTTACTGTGTAAGCTTCCTACACAAAGGGGGAAACATGTTGTGTGTTAGTTTCCAGGTTCATCACTAGAGGTCACTGTAGACCACAGGATGTTTGACTGCATGTGATGCACTGAAACTGAAAGAAGAAGCAGAACCTGGGTGAAGTTCATGGCAGCCTCTCTTTTTTGTTGTTGACATACAAACACAACATTTAAAAGACAAAAATCAGAAACACAGTCAGAGGAAACTGAAACTGAGTCAGTGGTTCTCTGAGAGGAAAACAGTAACACTGGCTGAGAGCTCAGGAAACATGTTTACAGAAGTTACACGCAAAACTCAGAGAACAGCAAGTAACACACACATACACACACACACACACACACACACACACACCCCACTGTCACATGTCTGTCCTCTACAGTCCACAGAGACAAAGCTGACTCACACACTTTGACAGTAACATCATATAAATGTTGGATCAACACTCACCCTGCCTCAGCCTTCACGTTTCCTCCTTCTGCTCCGTCCACTCAACATGGAGTCTGAACTGTCTGAACACGTCAGTGTCAGGGTTCCTCCCTGTCCTCATGTACCTGGATAACATGTTCAGTGTAGCCCCGCCCCTCTGCATTTACAGGAAACCAGCTGAGTTTATCTATGTGTGTGTGTGTGTGTGTGTGTGTGTGTGTGTGTGGTGCTTGCACAGATCAGGCCACGCCCCTGTTATGGTGCAAACATTGTGAAGACTGTACTGTACTGCTTGTGGGAGGTTTGCAGAACCGAAACAGTCCAGGAACTTAGTTAAAGTTAAGCTCAGTGTGAACAAATTGCTGATGGTGGTAATTACCTAAAATTAAATGATGTTGATTTAAATGTTGTGGTGGGGCTTTAACACCTGATGATGTTCACAGTGTGCAGATGTGATCCACTCCCTGAAAGCACCCTGATCAACCAGTGGGAGGACGAGAAGACTCATGACAGGTCATCTCACTATATAATGAAGAAAACTGTGTGTGTGTGTGTGTGTGTGTGTGTGTGTGTTCCACGTTTTTCTCCTCACTGACTTGGTCAATCCATGTGAAATTTGGCACAGTGGTAGAGGGTCATGGGAGGATGCCAATGAAGCAATATTACATCAATTGGCCAAAGGGGGGCGCTATAGCAACCCATTGAAATGTCAAACTTTGAATGGGCATATCTCATGCCCCGTATGTGGTAGAGACATGAAACTTTGCACAGAGATGCCTCTCCTCATGAGGAACACATTTGCCTCAAGAACCCATAACTTCCGCTTATATAGATTTTCCGCCATTTTGAATTTTTTGAAAAACACTTCAAATGGATCTCTTCCTAGGAAGTTTGAGCGATCTGCATGAAACTGGGTGAACATAATCTAGGGACCAATATCTAAAGTTCCCTCTTGGCAAAAGTTGGAAAACTTACTAAAACTGAGCTTCTATAAGGCAATGAATATTGCGGAGGGCGTGGCTCATCACATAAAGGTGTATAACATCTCAAGGGTTTCACCCATCACCACGCAACTTTGTAGGCATATGACCACACATAATCTGAGGGGACCCCTCCATTATTGACCCCATCAAACAAAATGGGGGCGCTAGAGAGCTCATTTCTTATCTAGGCCTAACCGCCATATGGATTTTTACTAAACTTGGTAGATATGTAGAACAGGACGCCTCAAGGTGACTGGAGAAATTTAACTCTAATTGGCAACTGGGTGGCGCTATAACAACAGAAAAATGCTTCAAAATGGCTAAAATGCGACCGATCGCTGTGGCTCCCCCTGTGGACCAATGTTGGTGTTGTTTCTAATGTTTGGTATGACTAAGTCATGGTATGGTATGCTGTACATAATCACAGAAACTGTCAGTGTGTCATTCTGTCAGTCAGTCATTCTGTCTGTCCCACGTTTTTCTACTCACTGACGTGGTCAATCTATGTGAAACTGCACATAGGCATTGAGGACTGGCATAGGTAGAAGGTGACAAAGCTACCAATGGGTATGGACTAGTTATACATGATTTATTACCTTTTTCCCAACAGCCAATTATTTCCCCCAAGGAAAACTTGAGTTTTACGTGAGACAGTGTCTCCTGTCCTCTATCAGATAGTGTCCTGTTATAGTCACATATGAATCCACTGAGCTTGAAGTCCAGGCGTCACAAGTTAAATCCACCCTTCCTACTGTACTCAAAGGTTCCTCAGCTTTATGCTTCACTTCTCTGTAGAGCTTGGGTATGGCTTTGTTTTGATGAACTTCCTGCCAGACGCCACTGACTGAGACCTCTGCTGACCTCAGCAGAGAACAAACATTAGCACCATCTAGTGGAGTGAAAAGCAACTGATTTTATTATTCTGGCACCAAAAGTTGAAATAAAATGTGTATTTGCAGAAATCAATAATGCAAATTAAAAAGATCAATACTTGCCGTTTGTGTATCGATAGACTATCGGCATGTAAACTATTGTAACACTGTGCTGTATGTCTTTTTTCCCTCAGCCCTAATCACTGGTGCAGGAGAATGCACTTCTGCTGTGTTTGTCGAATGCACCCCTGCCATCGGTGCCGTTGTGTTTCCAAAAACTATGATGATGAACATTTGTAAACATCCTTGTTTCTATGATGAAGATGAGATGTTGACGAGCTAAAATTAATTCACTGATGATAAAAACGAAGACAAAATGTATGTTTTGTCTTTGCTGGCACGCAGGATGAGACTGATCATTTTCTTTAATGCAACATATCAGAAAAATGTTTCAAACTAGGAGGCCAAGATCAGCCGTGTTTGCAAGTCTAATACTGTTTGAGACTGTGAAATCTGCCTCATCTATAATAAGTTATTTACACTCTTTGAAATAACTGAAACTAATAAGCACCTTTGTCTTAAGACTGAATCTAAAATATCTGCCAAACTGACCACGGCCCCGGCACACTCTTCAGTACAGACTGTTATGTTGTCTTGTGTTAGCTGTGGATTAGTTATTAATGGCTGGACCTAACAGTTGGTATTACGTGTTTGTTTCAATTAGCGCTGAAAGCTGCTGCAGCCTGCAGTGAGAAATCAGTTGTTCTGTTCCAACGCATTAAGACTGAAGCCAAAATTGATTACAGCATGCGTTTGTGTGTGTGTGTCTCAGAGGTGGGTGTATTTATGTGGGTGTGTGAATGCTAAATAGCTTGGAAATGTCAACTCTCTTTTAATGACAGATCTAATATGAACCCTGCCATCATTTAAAAGGGACTGTGTTCTGTCACTGCGCAGTGACAAACAGGCTTCTGTACTGTGATGCTGCTGGTTATTTGAACTAAAACTAAATGTGCTGTGTGGTATGTTTATATTCTCTACGCGTCAAACATATGTGACTAAATATTGCATATGTATCCACAGCAAACAACAACAGTGACAATGAAGAGAACTTTAATGTGCTCAGTGCGACAGGCAGCAGCATGGAGAGGTGAGACTTTTTATTGCTTAATTCAGGGTTGATTTAATGCTCTTCCTCTTTTATTAATTCTTTAAAGTAATTGTGGTCTAAGTGTTTGTGGTCTTCCTGAAAAGCTTTACCAAATGTATATCTATCACAGATTACATATGATAATATCCTGAAATACAGAGACTTTTTTCAGTGTTCGTATTACTTGATCCAAATAGTTAATTTCAATAATAATTATTCAGTTAGCCCCGATGTATCATTCTATAATGCGTGGCAATATTCAAATGCGTAGCCAAGCTAATCTAAGTTTAGCAGTTGATGATTCTGGTTTCAGATTATTTTGCAGTTTTGTTCATCATTCCAATCAGAAATGAAACATTAAAGAATTAGGGCTGCCAAACAAATTAATGTTGAATAATTAATGACATAAAAAATAACCTTGAAGCTTCCGTGGTGCCCTTTGACCCGGTGGGTCACTGAAGGCCGCAGTCTCTTCATCACATGATGGAGGCAGATGAGACGACGCTGCTTGGCCCCATGAACGGAACATTTACATTTTAAAAATCACCCAGACTAGTCCATAGCCATTGGTAGCTTTGTCACCTTCTACCTATGCCAGTCCTCAATGCCTATGTGCAGTTTCACATAGATTGACCACGTCAGTGAGTAGAAAAACGTGGGACAGACAGAATGACTGACTGACAGAATGACACACTGACAGTTTCTGTGATTATGTACAGCATACCATACCATGACTTAGTCATACCAAACATTAGAAAACAACACCAACATTGGTCCACAGGGGGAGCCACAGCGATCGGTCGCATTTTAGCCATTTTGAAGCATTTTTCTGTTGTTATAGCGCCACCCAGTTGCCAATTAGAGTTAAATTTCTCCAGTCACCTTGAGGCGTCCTGTTCTACATATCTACCAAGTTTAGTAAAAATCCATATGGCGGTTAGGCCTAGATAAGAAATGAGCTCTCTAGCGCCCCCATTTTGTTTGATGGGGTCAATAATGGAGGGGTCCCCTCAGATTATGTGTGGTCATATGCCTACAAAGTTGCGTGGTGATGGGTGAAACCCTTGAGATGTTATACACCTTTATGTGATGAGCCACGCCCTCCGCAATATTCATTGCCTTATAGAAGCTCAGTTTTAGTAAGTTTTCCAACTTTTGCCAAGAGGGAACTTTAGATATTGGTCCCTAGATTATGTTCACCCAGTTTCATGCAGATCGCTCAAACTTCCTAGGAAGAGATCCATTTGAAGTGTTTTTCAAAAAATTCAAAATGGCGGAAAATCTCTATAAGCGGAAGTTATGGGTTCTTGAGGCAAATGTGTTCCTCATGAGGAGAGGCATCTCTGTGCAAAGTTTCATGTCTCTACCACATACGGGGCATGAGATATGCCCATTCAAAGCTTGACATTTCAGTGGGTTGCTATAGCGCCCCCCTTTGGCCAATTGATGTAATATTGCTTCATTGGCATCCTCCCATGACCCTCTACCACTGTGCCAAATTTCACATGGATTGACCAAGTCAGTGAGGAGAAAAACGTGGAACACACACACACACACACACAGAGTTTTCATCATTATATAGTAAGATGGAACTGTTGATAGGAGCAGCGCTCTCTGCAGGTTCTGCACGAAGGAGTTTTTGTACCATTGGAGAACTTCAGGTCTGAAATATCACATCATCACAAAGCATTTAGCAGTGAGGTCCAAGCTAGCACAGCCTCTGATGCTAACACTAGCAGCCAGCCTCATCAAGCCTCACTGGACCAGGTGTTCAGACTGAGTCAGTCTACCTGTGACTCAAAATCTCAACATATGAGTCAAATATATTCAGCAGGAAAAAAAGGTGAAAAGTAATGTTATTATCCAAGGTGTTGTTGACATTCATCACAGTTTCAAGCATGTCATTTAACATGTCTGAAGGACAAAGTTTTCACTAATAAATGAATGATTAACTTATTTTGAAAGAAACAGAAATGTTCTCGGTCCCAAGGAATTATTAAGAATTGTTTTTTACATAAGCAGCAGACCTAAATTTTTACTTGTACACAAAGTTATTAAAATTTTTTGTTAAAGTTAGTAAGCACGTCCATCAACTGCCACTTTATTAGGTACACCTTGCTGGTACCAGGTTGGACCCCCTTTTTAACTCTTGTTGTCACAGATTCAACAAGGTGCTGGAAACATTCCTCAGAGAGTTTGGTCCATATTGACATGATGACATCACACAGTTGCTGCAGATTTGGAGGCCATCTGAATGTGGCAGCAGGAATCCAGACTCATCAGACCAGGCAATGTCTTTCCAATCTTCTATTGTCCAGTTTTGGTGAATTGTAGCCTCAGTTTCCTGTTGTTAGCTGACAGGAGTGGCACCTGGTGTGGTCTTCTGCTGCTGTAGCCCATCTGCTTCAAGGTTGGACAAGGTGTTGTTGCTTCAGAGATGCTCTTCTGCACACCTTGGTTGGAACCAGTGCTTATTTGACTTCCTGTTGCCTTTCTATCATCTTGAACCAGTTTGGCCATTCTCCTCTGACCTCTGGCATCAACAAGGCATTTTGGCTCACTGGATATTTGCTCTTTTTGGGACCATCCTCTGTAAACCCTAGATATGGTTGTGCTGAAAATCCCAGTAAATACTCAGACCAGCCCGTCTGGCACCAACAACCATGCCACGTTCAAAGTCTTCACCATGTCTACATGACTAAATGTTAATGAGCTGCTGACACCTGACTGGCTGATTAGATATGTGTGTTAACGAGCAGCTGAACAGGTGTACCTAATAAAGTGGCTGATGGGTGTATCCACTCCCCAGAAGATGAGCCATTTCCATTTAGGATAACTCTGCCATGTTCATGCCACCCTCAGGCTAAAATATTTCAGCATGTAATCTCTAATCATGAGCAGAACACGCTGATGTACCTAAACAAATAACGCTGGCCAACATTCTTCATATATATCTTTTATTGTTGCACTAATCTCTTCAATACTTGCACGAGGAATACAAAGTAAAAAGCCCCCGCACAAAGTCAGAAATAGCCCAGTAAACCCAGGAAACCATGGGAGGGACTTCTTCACAGAATGTTTAAACATCAACAAGCAATCCTTGAGATCTGTAAGCTATAATTTAACAATGAAGCATACAAACATAACATGTAAAACAATGCTGTTTAAGGTCAGTTGAATCAAAGGTCAAGAAAGTACCAAGCTCTTAGAAGCTGCTTTTCAGAGTAGCTGGAAATATCAAGGCTTTGTAAATAATGATCGTAATTTCTTTATTAAAACCATCAAATAGCAGTACAGGAAGCCACGAAGAAAAGTGCTTAAACATGAATTCTGCCCCATGATGCCCCGTTACGTACAATTTGAAAAAAAAAAAAAATCTTGTTGGAAGATAAATTCAGAATTTGATTGGACATTAAGGTTTGTGTGAATGTATTGTGGCTTCACAGTAAACAAACATTCATTTTATGGTTTTATTGCATAAAAAATACAATATTATCATTTATGGAGTTTCATTTCATCCAAACAATGGATGTCCACTTTTCATATAGTGTTGTTGGTTCTGTAGGTTTGAGCTCTGTGACGGCACAGAAACACCTGCACTTATTGGATTGTCCTACTGTCGCTCATTCAGCATAACGTGACGCTAGTTCAGGGTTAACTTTTGTGTGCTGAAGTATCTCAGTCACTCAGGGAGTGACCAAATGAAAAATAAAATGCATATTTATATTCACTCTCAATAAAATGTTCCCTGTGTGAATTATTTTATGTTCTGTGGATGTTTGTTCCAGTGAAAGGCATGAATATATTATAGTTTGTATACTGTGCTGTTTTATCCCGTCCAGCTCACCTCAAATATTATTTTGCAGCAAAAAAGCATAGTACGAAAATACAATTAATATACACTTAGCAATGTAGCATTTGCTTTATCAAGACGTACAATAACATCAAAATATGTTTTCAAATCTGAATTACATTTATGTCAAGAAAAGCTTAGCAAAGAGTAGACTCAATGATACATTTGTCTAACATTCAGGCATCTCAGCAAAAAACGACTTGGAATTTATTGTCAGCAAATTATCATCTTGTACATAAAGGAAAGGTTCAGATATTTTTCATCTATTTTAATAAAATAGTCAAATGTCATATGTGTATTAAAAGACTTGACTGTAATCGTTCCTCCCATCCATAATGGCCTGAAACCATCTTTTCATAGTGGGACCACACTGTAACAGAGTCCTAATCTGAGGTCAGTCTCCTCTGGTCTGTGGCTGCAGCACAGGAATACTTCAGCAGTTGCAAGCAGATTTGCTGTTGGTGTTGTGTCCAAGTGTGCCTCCATCTTATTAGTTCTGTTCCATTTAAAGCAGCACTAATCATCCCTTTATATTTGAAATGGATCCAATGACTGAGTGATATTTAAAGTGTTGCTCGTTGTGGTAAATCCACAGAGAAAGGTCACCAGCTCTGCTGCTCACTTCAGCTGTACAGAATTTTTTTCATCTTTAAGCTCGTTGTTTTTTATTTTTTCCGGCCTGCTACTCATTAACCTCAGCGGGCAGCTGTTTTCAGTCAGAAGGCTTTGATAAACCCACTCTAAACTTCCTGCCAATCACCGAACACGCGACAGATAAAGTTAAATACCAGCTAACACCAGTCAAGTGTGTTTCTAATGATTCAGTGGAGACCAAACCAAAGCTAAAAAGAGTGAATGTTGGACTTCTGGGGCCGTATTCACAAAGTCCTCGTACTAAGAGTCACGCCTTGTGACACAATTCTAAGAAAATTCTTAGAATTGTGATGTTTTCTTAGAATTTCCCTTTAAAGTTAAGACTAGGTCCTTGTGAAGATAAAAGTTATTTACAAAGTGTCTTAGCTCTTAAAGGGTTCCTAAGGTGAAAAGGTGTTAGGAGTAGAGAGGAGGACTTTAAGAGGCTTAACAGTTTCTCAATCAGAGGAGAAAATGACAGAAAGACGAAGAGGTCGGAGAAACATTCTCCAAACACTGGATGACAGTGAATTAATAAATCATGCAGGGAGAATATTTGTGCAGCGCAGCAGTGATGAGTTGAGTCTGTCCCAACCTTCCATCAGCAGTGATCACACTGACACTGTCACAGTCAGCAGTTCATCTCATGTCCACTGGGTGTCCTCACCTTACAGGCTCACAAAGGGGCGTGTCTCTGACAACCAATCACATCTGTTAAAGAATGCATCACACCTAGCAACAGGGCCGACCACACCTCCTCACTGAGGTTCAAGTTTCTGTCCCTTCCTTGCTCAGAGTCGCTCTGAGAACTTTCCTAAATCACTCCTAAGCGAGGACACCTCACTAAAAGTCTTTAGGCTGAGTTAGGAGCTCTGTGAGAGTGTTCTCAGGATGTTTGTGAATACGACCCCTGGTGGACACAAACACAACTTCAAACTGATGATACTGTTGATCTGTTTCTGCCAACCCAGTCATCTAATAAATGTTGGCATTATTCATTCTCCAAAGCCCACGTGTGTAACACTTGTACCTTGTGGATGTGATGACACCATACGTTTCTCTATATTTCAGCAGCAGTGTGGTTAATGTGGTTATGTTCACAAAAAACACTTTATTATGGTTAGGAAAAGATCATGTTCTAGCTTATAATAAACGGTTTTGGTGCCACAATCACCGCTGGAAATGTCATGGTGTGTGCCTAAAAAAAGCACTGAGTTTTGGTGCCACCAACGCCGCAGCAATGTGCCGCCAATTAACATCCGCTTTTGTTATTTATTGGTGTCAAATAGTGGTCCGATGCTTGGCAGCAGTCTCGTGTGAGTAGCTATAGCTAGTGATGGCCAAATGAAGCCTCATGAAGCATTTTCTTTATTTTCTGAGCCCACTAGATGGCACTCATGGTTTAAAGAGAGCTGCTCAAAGAATGGCAATTCAGTGTGCTTTCAACCTTTTGTTGAGCAAAAAGTGCCATCTAGTGGGCTCAGAAAATAAAGAAAATGCTTCATGAGGCTTCATTTGGCCATCACTAGCTATAGCTGCAGCTGGGGCAGCTACATGACCCACGCACTGTGACCACCACATCAGTCCACGAGAAGCCCCGTTCGCTCCTCGGCACAGAAGCTGAAGCCATAATGAAAATGCTAAGTTAGCAATTAGCTAGCTATAGAGTGTAAGGTTAAGAGAGAGGTGGTTAAGGGTAGGGTAAGGGTAATGGGAAGGTAACTTCACATTACATATAAAGTCACCACATCTTCATTACAATGGATTATAAAGTAGATTATTACTACTGCAGTTACACAGTCTCGTCTCATGGTTTTCACTAATCACCATCCCTACCTCCTCTGGATAGTGGAGCGGCATAGCTATAACATCGTTCATATTTGTGATAATAGCACCAAATTTGCCAGATGTACTGACAAATATCTTTAAAACAATTCTGGATATTGAGGCATCAGAATCTCGCCCCCTGGTGGCCAGAGCAGGCAATTGAATCCTACCTGCCCATGGACCCGTCCCGTTAATTGGATCCACTCCAAAATGTGATGGCTTCTAAGTTGGACTATGCTACGTGCCTCCACCAAGTTTTGTGAAAATCGGTCAGACAGTTTTCACGTAATCCTCACCCAAAAAATAAATGGAAGTGAATGGGCGGCCCGTGGACACGCCCCCTGAGTTGGATCAACACCAAATGTGTTTGAACATATGATATCTAACTAGTGCAGCCATCTGCAGCAATGTGGAACCTTAATAATAGAGTTGACAGAATGATTTCACATTGCTGCAGATGCAACTTAGAAGCCATCACTTTTTGGAGTGGATCCAATTAATGGGACTGGTCCATGGGCAGGTAGGATTCAATTGCCTGCTCTGGCCACCAGGGGGCGAGTTTCTGATGCCCCAATATTCAGATTTGTTCTAAATATATTTGTCAACACATCTGACAAATTTGGTGCTTTTATCACAAAATTGAACGATTCTAGAAAAATATTGAGCTCTGCTGCCGCACTAGGATGAACTCAGCCCATCTGCATGTAATCTGAGAAGCATCTGTTTAGAAAGGTTGATTTGATGCATTTGAATTGTGCAAATCTAACATCTCTGGTGACCTGGTGACCAGGCTGGTGTCTGCTGGATGTGTGAATAGGTAACCATTTACTGCGTAAGGTGATAAGGTGTTAATGTTTTGTTACTAGGTTGTTTCTGCTGAATCAATTCATGCAGCTTTAATATCAGCACAATCTTAGCCCTAACTCCAACACGCCATCTAGTGATAATTTCAACTCTGCCTGATCCTCAACCTCAGAGGGAAGAAACACAAAGGAGAAACACACTTTAACACAAGACCAACACACAACACGACCAGCAGCATTACACTAGTGACTGATTTCTTCTGACTCACTGCTGAAGCCTACATATGACATTTGAGTAATGTGTTAAGATAGGCCTGTCCTTTCCTAGTATCGTCATAAAAAAGGCCAAATGCTGTTTTCTTCCTCTGGCATTTTTTGAGTTTCAGTGATTGTGGATAAGATCTTTTAAACAGTTCCTCAGTAGGCAAGTAATAATCCACACAGAGGCATGAAGTTATAGAAAATTATTGCATGACACAAAAGCTGATAACCTGGCTTTGCCTCTCTTTTATACCATCACCACCTGCCATAGTTAAAAATATCAGTATTGTTTATTCATAATGAATTTAAATGGAAACTGGGTGTTGGCACCGTCCGTGTCAATATTGTAATAAACCTTACTTTACTACTCCAGCAAGTTGTTAAAGCTGTAGCCTAGTAAGAGCTGAAACCAGCAGCCTTCCAGCTATGAGTGTCAATTCAAAAATGATGAGGACATTTCAGTGTTGTGTGGGCATCTAAAGATGTTACTAATGTCCACGGTACAGTCTAATTCTGTGTGTCTGAGTTCTCTATTGACTTATTCCAAAGTAATGTGGCCACAAACATTCTTATTGTCTTAGTTTTGCCCAAAGCATCACAGAAGCAGAGTTTAGGTTATGTCACAAGATGAAACAAACAATCGCAACACTGCATTTCACTTGAATGGGTATAACACTGACAATCAATGCCCTTAAATGGCAAACTTTTGACTTGATCCTCTTTAGTCGTTTTTTGTAAACTCGCCCGCCTCCCAGCGCAGAGCCATGGCACTCTTGCGTCTTCCTCCTGTGTAGACCTCTGGAAACTGAGAAAGACAGCTGATTGTTTACCTGCTTTCAAAGCACTTCCTCCACCTCCACCTCCTTTACTTTCACCTCCTCTCTCAGGTTATTAGACTGAAGATGGGATAAGTAAATCAATGTCAGTGTTATGATAATATATGATAAAATAGATTTAACATCGGAATGAATGTTGTTTTTATTAGGCGTAATACAAAAATATTTTAAATGATCTTTTTTTGATGATTGTATCTGCAAACTAAGATTTTTACAAAAGGAAATATTTGAGCGAGAGCTTACTCTGTGATCACAGGATAGAGCGGAGCGATCCATCCTGTAGGCTGTTTTCATTGGTGATGATGGAGAGGACTTGCACTTCACTGGTACATCAACTAATAAAGACCAAAGATCACCGTTAGCTTAAACACAAAGAGGAAGAATGAGAAAAAAAGTACATGTACAGAGTGTTGTAAATAACGTAGTGTTCTGTGGTCATTACTTTGCTGACGTACCTGAATTGTCAAACGCCAAAGTGTCCATGTGATTTGACAATATCCTGTCTGTATTGAACCTGTCTTTGCCATATAGATTTGCCCTCTCCTTCCTCAGCTCATCCTCCCTCTGCTTCACCATCTTTATTTCTTCATCCACCAGTGACATTGTGCTCCTTGAACGCAGCTTGAAAAAGGGGTTGTTCAGGAACATTTTTTCCTGGGGCTGCTCACTGGCTTTATTGAGTGAGAACTCGGAGGTACTGCGAATAATCAGATTGGATGTCTCTAGGATGATGAGGTTGGAGCTGCTGTCCTCGGAGCACCACTCTCGGGACTGAGCTGCCACACTGTCTTTGTCACGTCTGGGGCTGGAGGTGAAATCATTGCTAGGGTCTAGAATGATAACATTGTTTGCTGATAATTCATGTTTCAGTGGTTCCTTAGTGGGTGAGGAGGTGATGATGAATGATGGTGTCAGTGGAGTGCTTATGGATCGAGGCATACTTCGTGATGGAACACAATCAGTTGATTTGCCCATCCTGGAGAGGCCCCTCTCTCTCTTGAAGTTTTCCTCCCTCTCCATTGATATGCGAATCTCCCTCTCTACTGGTGTTTCTGGGTCATCGTAAGGAGACCTGTAACTGGAATCATCCAGGCCAGAATCCTCTGAGCAGGGGCTGAATTGGGTGTGAGGATAATCGCCAACTAGATTCAAGTTCTCCAGATCGTGTGCTTTCTTGTGAGTCCTTTCAATGTTGCGGACAGGGGTGTACATGAAGCTGTGGCTGCCATGGAAGCTGGGCTGTTTGGTCGTAGGTAAGACAATCTTGTTCATGGTTTGCTCTTCCATTTCCCGCCACTGTTTACGAGCCAATTGGAAGTCCACATGCTCTGTGCTAACATTCTCGCTCATGGTCTCTTGTATCACACAGAAGTCTTTGGGTAGCTTCTTGTTAGAATCTGCACTGATGTGCTTTTGGTGGTTGGCTTGGTTATGATTGGCATCTCTGCCATTTTCACTGTCATCTTCAGAGATTTTGGACAAACCTTGAAGGCCTAAAGGGTTGTATTTAACCTCTTGTGGAGGGTTAGGAAAGGAAACTATGTCCTCAGGTTGTTCTAGAACTTCTTCCACTTGTGGAACCTCAAAACGGACCTCTTCAAAGTTGTTGTTGCCTTGTTCCTCAAAGTCTGTCACCTCAACTTTCTGCACAAAGAGCTCTTGGGCACTAAGCTGAAGACTGTCCAAATATGAGTCATCATCTTCTTTATTTATAGAAGAAGAGAATATTGTTCTCCATTTTTCATCCGTCTCACTGTCTGAGGAAGCTGCTGCAATCTCAACTCTTAGGCATTCATCCATTTCATCAGGCTCAAGGTCATGGCAGGATTCATTGGAAACATCTGACATTGCGTCTTCTCTAATACGCTGCTCCAACATAGACTCCTCTGTAATAGGAGGTTCGAACAGGATGTCATGGGCCTCTGGGTCCTCTTCTGTGTCTACTGTCACATTTTGATAATCATCATCTTTGAGATTCAGCTCATTATCCTCAGCCTCAGGCTCCGGCTCAGGGTATAACTCTAGCTCAGGGTATTGCTCCGGCTCAGGGTACTGGTCTGGTTCAAGGTCTTGTTCTGGCTCAGGGTAGTGCCCTAGCCCAAGGTCTTCGACTTGCTCAGGGTACTGCCCCAGATCAGGGTATTGCTCTGGTTCAGGGTCTTGTTCTGGGTCAGGACACTGCTCTGGTTCAGGGTACTGCCCCAGATCAGGGTCTTGTTCTTGGTCAGGACACTGCTCTGGTTCAGGGTCTTGTTCTGGGTCAGGACACTGCTCTGGTTCAGGGACTTGTTTTGGCTCAGAATCAGACATGTCCTGCCTCTTACGGTGAGCGTCATTCTCATAAACACTGTCAGCACTGGAGGGTGTGTCGGACACAGATGAGGCGATTGACTCATTCCTGTTGAGCTCTTCATGCCCTGATTCTAATATCAAAGCCTCCTTTTGATCTTGACAAGGCATTTCAGTGCAAACACTGGTCTCAGAGCAGTCAGGCCTGTCAATCTCAATTGTGCCGCTTGGCAGGTCAGTTAATAATTTGCCAGTTTCCCCCTGGAAATCTGATGAGTCCATCTCTAAACAAACTTGCTCATCATCTGCACTGAAATCCTTTCCCTGATCAAGTGAATCAGCCACAGCAACCTCTACTACACAGTCCATCGCCAGCTCTGATTGCTCAGTGGTTTCCATGGTTACGGAGAAGGAGTTGTTATTCTCAGTTGTGCTGCAACCTTCGTTCAGGTCTTTTCCATCTGCCTCTCTATCCATCAAGGTAGCTTTCTGAAAAGAAAAAAAAAGAGAGAATAAAGAAAACAGACGTTCATCTTCTGGGAGGGAGAGAGAGAACTGTACCTTAGGAAAATGCAGAGCTGAGCTGGGAATCAATAGCAGCATTTTCACAGCAGCCCTCACCCTGACATTATTTGCAGTTTCTTAAACCTTGTCTTCTCCCAGTGTCTCCTGGATATTAAAATGTCAGTAATGTCTGTAATGCACTACAAGCACATTATAATTCATTCATAAGGATTAATAAAAAAAGTGTTTCTAGTTATGCATGACAACTTATAGCAAGGTTTATAAAGTTACACAGCACATTATAGACCAAACCACAATGTTTACTGACAAAAACTTCCAGGCAGTAAATCTTGTACACTTTTTTAGAATATTTTCGCTGCTTTACGTCACTGTCAGACTTTAAAACTGAAGCCATTATATCAAAGCCACCAGACTCCACTGACAAAAACGGCTTTTTTGCATAGCAGACCATTGTTGCTGATCTACCGCGGCCTCACCTGGTTAGTGTGTAAGGTAAAGCAGAGCAAATGTTAAATCATAGCACACGCTCACACTGATATTTATTTTTAGGTGGCTAAAACACATTTTGCTGCGGCACTGTCCATAACAGCACACTGTCTACCTGCCACGCTGGTAGATTTGGTTTATCAATCATGACAACAAAGCAACAAAGTAGATCAAATAAACACAGCCGAAACGTCAGACAGGTCAGACCACTGTGTTCTACTACATATCTTTGAATGTTACGTTACAGCTACAGCTGAAAATGACAGAAATCGACAAGTTTGCTGATTTTACACGCCTCCACAAATGTAATCAATTGGCAGCTTTCTACTCAGAAGTGACTGTTGTTAGAGTGACGTCACGGTAATTCTGTGGATAACTGACGGAACGTTTGCCAGTTATAAAGACACATAGAAACCTGTTCTAACATATCCTATCAGACGCTAAATACTACACTTGTGAAATGGAATAATGTCTAATAAACATCACTAATATGCTAATATGATAACCGCTCCGCTTGGTTCTGCGCATTCTTCGCTCTGCTCCACTCCATCATAAATTTTATCCCGCTCCACTCACTCACCACTCCGCTCAAAAAAACTGCGTCGTACTACCCTAACCTGTAATCTTCTATTCACAAATAAAACATGAGCTTGGTAGATTCTCCGGGGAAGCCCTCTCGCCTCTCCCCGCAGTTAGGGACCATTCTCCATGGTACCGCTGTCGGCAGGGTGGAAATAAGTCAAAGTGTAAAGGAGACGGACCGGGTTAAGCTGCCAACCTCTGGGGAAGCCCTCTCGCCTCTCCCCGCAGTTAGGGACCATTCTCCAAGGTACCGCTGCTTCTCTTCTCAGTTTCTTTTCTGAATTACACCGTAAACTCCATAGTTTTGAAAGAAAATAGTGTGGGTGTGCGCAGGTACAAAGATGCATTCTGGGTGGGGCATGAGCGCCCGGAGCAACATTGGAGCGAGAGATAAGGCTCGGCTCCACCTTTAAAAAAAAATAGCCGCTCCTCGCTCAGCTCCACTCACATGCTCTGTCTCTCTCCCCCCTTCACACTTGGCTGTCCTATCCATTAAAGGCTAAAAATGCCCAAAAAATATCTTAAAAAAAAGAAAGAAATGCTGCCAGTAATGATATGACATGAGGAGCAGGGACGTCTGTAAAGGGTGGGCGGAAGGGGTGGCTGATGGCAAACCAATATGTTTTATTTTTTTAAACCTAACCATGTACTTTTGTTGACATCCTGGCGTTGTGTGGTAGCATCCTGAAATGTCAGCAGTAGACGGAGAAGGACACCTAGACTGTAACATGTAGATGTGAAAGGCCACTGTGGCAACATGTGACGGCACCGTGGCTCAGCCTCCCTACAGACGTAAATACAAGATTTAAAAAGAAAATCAGCGGAATCCCAGTTTAAGGCTTTTATCCACTGGAGAGGAACGTTTGCAAAGAGTTACCCAGGCTTTACTATGAACTATGAACAGCATATTTCCTACTGTCCTCCAACAGATAACATTTTTTATATATTTTTTATTTAACCCATACTCAACCAGGCGGGTCCGTCGAGACCAACAACATCTTTTACAAGGGAAACCTTTCCAAGACAGCAGCACACAAAAACTTACAGCCAAATGCACACAAAATAAAAACATTAAAGATCTACAGTAACATGTAGAAATATTTACAAGAACCAACCGATTCATTCATCATGGTACTTACGAGAGATTTAAAATCAGGCAGAGACCAGTCCACGTAGTTTCAACTCTTTCTGAAGGTTTTTACCAGGTGAGAGCAGCAGAGCACATAAAAGCTCTCTGTCCCAGCTCAGCATGAGAACCAGGAACAGACAACAAACCTAAGTGTTGAGATCTCAGACTGTAGCTACAGTCACATCTCTGTTATGATGGGAATTTACCCAGTATGGCTTTATAAATGAACAAATACCAGTGACTGAGCCTACGAAAGCTCAAAGATGGCCGACCAGCCCTGGACAAAAGCGCACAGCCATTCAACCACTAACATGAAATCTCTGTTCTGTGTTTACTGTCCATCCAGCCTTCAATCAGCCTTTACATCGAAATACTCTTTCACCTATCTGAGACCTCGTCCACATGTACATGGGTATAACTGAAAGTGTAACTTTTTTTTGTCAGGGGGGCAAAAGGTGACAAAGATACAAACCCTCTCGGGGTCTGTGGAAGATATATCTTAAAAAAACAGGTTTGTGTATTTCCAGTCAGTTTGAGCATGAACATATGGGATCATGTAATATTCATTTTACAAAAGTAACGTAAATGGGACACCAGTTCAGGGTTAAAAATACATAAATAAATAAAGAGTTGAGAGAGCGCAGAGCCAGATCCAAAATGATTTGAAAGTACACTGTGTTATGCTGCGTTCCCACCAAACGCGATTTCGCAAATTCGCGCGTCAAAATTACATACAAAGTCAATGCAAAGACGCGATTAGACGCGAAATCGCGCCGGGCGGGGCGTTGGACGCGTCTAGCGCGACGCGATGGACGCGTCTAACGCGGCGCGATAGATGCGAAAATCGCGTCCAACACCTCATCGCTCGAGTTGAAAATATTAGGCTCGTTGGAGATGAACTGCGCCTCGCCTGGAAAGTAGACGAGAGCAGGCGGCCGCAGCGGGGGGCGGTGACAGAAAGCTGCGGTGAAGTCGGACAGTTTCCCGACAGTTTCCAGCAGCCTTCAGTCCGTACAGGAAGTCACAGACACACTTACATCCTGTCTGGAATGATGTCAATTCATTAAAAAAGTGATCAGACCCATATATCAGTTTGTTTTCACCATCAGTCACACAACATGTTTTCTATTCACAGAATAAACCTTCAGATCAGACAAATACAATCTTAATCTCTAAAATTTAACAAAAATGAGTAGTTTATCTAAAACGTCATATTGTTGAGTCGGCATCTAAACCAATCAGCTGTTACATCAGGTGAGAGCCAGGCGGTGCAGTCGGTGGAGAGCAACTGCAGCGCCTGGCTCTAAAAACTGCAGCCGTCTCGCTCTCGCGGCTTTATCGCCGTCCACTTTTGTAATACGTCAGAGCAAGTCGGGATGAAGTCGGACACAAAACTAACCGGCATGCATTGTGCGCCGATCGCCGGTGATCGAATCTGCGCAGGACTGGCTCATCTCGAACGAACCTAATATTGAACTTTTGAGGCGAATTCGCGTGACACTGTGCCGCGAAAGCCAATCAGCGTTGAGATTCTCCCGACGTCACTGGCGTGTGTCAACAACGTCCAGTTGTTGACACAACAATAAACTGCTACTCACCAGGGAGACAGATGGACAGGCACTCCGCAGCTGAAATGGAGCGCCTGTAGTTGGTGTCCTGCCGGGAGATCCTGGCGCCAACCCTCGCCAACAGGTCCTCAAACTGGGCCCCAGTCAGCCTGAAGTACCGCTGAAAGCGGCTATCATCCAGACGGAGTTCCTGGAGGAGGTGGTGAAACTCGCCGAGCTGGATGCGCTTCTGCAGGACAGGGTGAACCCAAAAACGACGGCGTTTGGCCCTCCGACGCATCTGGGACTTCCAGAGCAGGTACAAACAGCGATGGTGGATGGATATCTCAGCCATGGTCGTCAGTGGCTACCCGGAGCTATATGATACTGCGTGTCTACTCTACAGAGGCCGCAACAAAAAGGAGCAGGCTTTGGTGAAAGTCGCCGAGGAGACTGGTCTACTTGGTAAGTTCTGTTAATATGTGTCTTTAATTAGTTTGCAGAATGGTTGTACTATGAACGTTAGCACTAGCTTAGCTCCAGTTAGCACAGCCGGCTTCCCCGCTACTCGCGCGAATGACACGATAACGCGAATTAACAAAATGGTCAGGTGTCGAAATTCGGGCGTTATGGGCGGCGCGTTACTCGCGTTACGGGCGATTAAATCACGTTCATCGCGTTTGGTGGGAACACAGCTTTACACTGTAGAGAGTAAAAATGAATGAATGTTTTTGCTCTCTACAACTAATGCGACTGCTGTTCGGTCACTTCAAAGACGGGCCTATCCGCTGCGTGCTCCGCCGTCCGTCAACACCCACCGGCTGCGTTTGCTGTGTGGAGCGGTGCAGCTCAGCCGGACAGCGGGAGTCACGAGGACCGGCGAGATCTCGTGAATTCACGCATAATCTCGCGATATAACAAGATGTAGTTTCTATAAACAGAACCACAAAACCAGAGGAGTAGTAGGAAGACATCTGGGTGCACCTCCATGATTAACATCTCCTCGTCCATGGTGTCAACGGGGTGAAATGACGCCTGAAAACCTCTGACCTGTTGACTTCAGGCCTGCCTCCGCCCATTATGACATTTTCAAGGTGTAGTGCAGGGAAATATGATCCGCCGTGAACACTGTGTATTTTATTTTGAAAATTAACCAGATGTTTTATTTTGTTTCTGTGCACGACTTCCTGCCCCGCACGATCTGCTCTGTGCTGAATTGC